GGAACTACAGGCACGTGCTACCACGTCCGGCTAATTTTTGATTTATTGTAGAGATGAGGTCTCGCCAAGTTGCCCAGGCGGGTCTCGAACCCATGTCCTCAGGCAATCCACTCACCTCAGCCTCCCAAAGCACGGGATTACTGGCTGAGCCACTCAGCCCGGCTAGATTTTTTTCTTTATGACTTGAAACTTTAGGTTCACCAAGCATTTGCTGAGTTAATTGTCTAAGCCTAAAGTAAACTAGCATTTACCTTGCTCTATGCTACTTCAGAACTTTCTTGGAGCTGTAACATTTACCTCAGAGTGGAAATGTACAGGCCAGGCATGGCTGGCTTATACCTGTAATCCCAGCACTTTGGGAGGCCTAGGTGGGAGGATTGCTTGAGACCAGGAGTTTGAGACCAACCTGGGCAACACAACGAGATTGCATTCTTACAAAAAAAATATAAACTTAGCCAGACATAGTGGCGCACACCTGAAAGCCCAGCTACTTGGGAGACTGAGATGGGAGGATCTTTTGAGTGCAGGCATTTGAGGCTGCAGTGAGCCACAATCGCACCACTGCATTTCAGCTTGGGTGGCAGAATGAGACCCCTACTCAAAAAACACACATACATGGTATTTGAGATAGTGCCTAGCACATATTAAACGTTCTATATATGTTTGTTGAATGAGTAAATTAGTTTATTCAGTATACTAATATACATTCAGTGATTTGTTTTTGTCTTGGTTTTATCATTATTAGATGATTCTTTTCCAATATTGTCATTATTCTTGTACATTGATTTGCTGGGTTTTTTTTGACTAGGAGTGGTCTCTCCATAATCAAATTGGACCCTGTAATATATGTAGTATATAGTTGGGTTTTTTTTCCTCATTAAAGCAGAGATTTTTGCTATGCCTGTGTTTTAACTCTAATTTATGTGGTTAATTCTGTCAGTGGGTTGTCTTTGTCCCAGGTAATAGAAACCTGCAGACAATTCAGATAGTCACCATCGTCTTGTAATCCTTACCCTACCATGACCTTTTTCAGAGTGTATCAGTTCCTAGATGCTTTGGTTTGGTGAAAATTTAGTTTGCAAAAGTGAGGCTTAAATAATTGACATTTGTTAAATATCAGAAAAGGGTGATTTTCTGGGTTGTTTTGTTTGGTTCTATTTCTACTATTTCTTACTGACACTGACATCAGTCTTATTTCTCTGAATTTAGACAGAGTGATGGTGATGGCTTTCAGCTATCAGTTTAGTTAGCTTGGCTCCAGGTCAGAAGTCAGGGATTATAAATATAAAATCTTTATAATATTTACTAGAATTGCTCTAGTGGGAAGAATCTCTGTTGAAACCAACAGCTGCCATTTGAACTCTCAGCATCTGAACTCTTTTCTCCTATTTGAGACCAAACTGATTTCTCATTTTTCTTTAACTATCTTATTCACCAGTGTATTCCCAGTGCCTTGCATGGCATGAAAAAGGCACTCAGGAAATGGTCCTTGTTTCCTCTGACCATGATGTGTTTCTTGATTGGTGGTCCCACAGGTTCTTTATTATACATTAATTTCATCTGGAGGATGATTTCCTATTGCTTTGAAGTACCCCTTCCAGTTGAATTTTGTACATATCAATAGCCTGCATTTTAATTAAGAACATCTCAGATATATTTCCTAAACACAGTGGGAATTCTCTAGCTTTTTTTTTCTGAGTCGGGGGTCTGTGGCCCAGGCTAGAGTACAGTGGTATGATCACTCATGGCTTACCTCAACCTCAACCTCTGGTAGGCTCAGGTGATTTTTCTGCCCCAGCCTTCCGAGTAGCTGGACTATAGGTGCACATCACCACATCTAGCCTCTAGCTATTTTTAATAATGTGATAAGACAAACTTAAAAAAATGTTTTTGGCTGGGCTCGGTGGCTCAGCCTGTAATCCTGTGCTTTGGGAGGCCGAGGTGAATGAATTGCCTGAGCCCGCAGGTTCGAGACCCGCCTGGGCAACTTGGCAAGACCTCATCTCTACAATAAATCAAAAAAATTAGCCGGGTGTGGTAGTGTGTGCCTGTAGTTTCAGCTACTTGGAAGGCTGAGGCAGAAGGATGACGGGAGCCCAACAGGTCAAGGCTGCAGTGGCCGGGGGCGTGCAACTGCACTCCAGTCTGGGCAACTGGAGAGAGAGACTCCAACTCAAAAAAAAAGTAAAAGATTTGAAGACTGATTCTTTATGAAATAATTCTTGATTTTGCTTTTATCTGCATTTACTATCGTTGAGTTTATCGTAGTACTTTTTAGATACTGTATGGAAATTGATTTTATGGTATTAAAAGTACCATGTAAGGGCTCTGAAATGTTAAATAATACTATCCAAAAACTAGATTAGAGAAGTAGATTACTGTGTGAGCACACAGACTCTAGGGTAGTTCATTCAGGTTTTTTTTTTTTTTTTTTGAGTTGGAGTCTCACTCTG